CAGCGGAGATTTTCCAAGCCTTTTTGAAGCTTATTGAAGAGGCATACATCTTCGAAACGATGCTAGATTTGTAACAAGCGACAAAGCAAGGTGATTTAATACATTCCTATTTCTTTTAGAGTAGTAATGACCGAGTTTGATTGACCTGAGGTGAAAAAGCAATTTCGATATTGTCTAGGACGAGAATTTCCTTCTTTTTATGAGTTGCTAACGCTCTCATTCGTTGGTGGGAGCTATGGGCAACATTATGCGTTAGAGCCCGGACATACTTAGACGATTTCAGTCGCAACGCGATTTGGCAGTACTCCAATTGCTTATAACTCATCGTACGCGCATACTATACATGCAGAAGATAGGATTTATCAATTTGCGGAAGTCATATACGCTATGCATTTGTGTTCCGCAAATGTTGCATCTGAAGACATTGGCAGATTGTCAAATCGCGTTGCGAGTGAAATCGCTTGAAGTATGCCCGAAGGGCTGGGCACATTCGCAACCGCCACCTCTCTTCATCCACTAGCATAACTGTACATGATTTACACCTACGAACCTCATTCATTTGAAAGTCGATGCCCTCGATATTCACCGACTGATCATTGAAGGTGACTCGAGATCCAAGTCGTATCTCTTCCTCACTTCCAGATGTAAACGTAGCACGTTTACCAGGTATATCGAGCAGATCTGGTGGGCCGGCTGACATAGCTGTAAGTGATCTTATAGGTGCATATACTGTCAATCCGATGGTGTGATAGCTGCGTATGCGAGTAACATTGCAAAGTTCGCATAAATTACCGTACACACGAGTGCAGACGACATTGCGCGTCCGACACCTACCAGGGTTAGTGAAGGTACTGTAGTTGGGTTGCATGACCGCGACGGCAGTGGCCAGCACTGGCCGCTGAGGTTCTACATCCGCATTGATTACCATTGCAAACAATTTGACTGCGAGGGGTGTGTTAGTGACTGACTGAGTGAGTGAGCGAGCCAGCTAATGTCTATGGGTGTCTCTGCCCGCAATTGGCATGATCTTGGTCAGGTGACAGCTTTTCCGTCGACCGCTTCCGCGCGGAGGACCGCATGAGTAAGCGCGGAGTTAGAGCAGGCATGATAGCGTGATTTGTGTGGGCGAGACGGACGTTCTATGAATCACATGTTTTATTTGTTTTTCGTCATGGCGTCATAGGACCGGAAATGACAAGTGAGGTCGAGTATGCTTCACGAGCATGTAAAAAACAACAAAGTAGGCGGATTAACGTTGGTAAAGTGATCTCCAAACAACCTAGACAGGTTTCACAAATACCGCTAGTGCTGTGATGATGCGATCTTTCGCATACTGTGCATTATCAAGAAGATGTCTAAATATGAAGAGGGAGAGGATTTGATAATGATGAAGAAACAGGAAAATTAGGTTGTCGATGTTACACTTCCACCTTAGTCGCTTTTAGAAGACAACAATTGAAAAATTTTACGTTCAACATTGGTGACAGAGTAGCAGCGGAAGTATTCAGCACAATGTGTTGCCAGAGAGACTGTAGGTAAAGTCTAGCGACCCATTCGTTTAGCGGTTGATTGGATTTTGCAAACAAATGCTAACCTTTTGTAAAACACCTATTTAACATAAGAGACCAATCATATCACAGCGGGTCTAAAAGTGCACAAGCCATATGGATGTCACGTCATGTTGGCGTAAAAGCAGGCTGTTGCTAACAACAGAAATGTCATTCATTAGTGCTCATACAAAGGCACAACCATTACTGAGATTGGCAGAAGCAAATTTGGAAAAACACCAGCAATAGTAAGCATTTTGAAAGCTTTTCGGCACAAGGCGACACAACTACAGGGAAGAGATGATCTAAATGATAGAGTTGATGGTGAATGCATAGTCAGGGAGAGAGGAGTGATTGTAAAAAATAGGAAAGAACTGTATGATTTTGTCTAAGGTTCCTTCTCAGCGAAGTCTTTGAAGTCGGACACAATAGAAATTGCATTCCAGTTCAGTGCTCTCCAAGTTCTAACGAAAGAGCACTTTGAAATGAAAGCCTTTGCCTTCGAGCGGTATTAGCGTGACATCACAATGATGCAAGAATTTTTTTTT